TATCTTCCCAGAAAGTGACTTTGAAATGTTGCCCCTTGGAATGAGATATTAATGATAATAATAATTAAAATAGTATAATAAATAACTTCTTGGGCGCTCAGCTGTTCTCCTCAGGCAGGGGTCATGGGTCGTAACTGCAAGCTAGGTTGGAGCACTTGCCCCAGGCCAGATGTCAACGAAGTCCTGGGCTGGCATGTTCTCCTCTTGTGCTCCTTGCCACACTGCCACAGTGATGGGGGGGGGGTCCCCATTCTTCCTGTAACGCTGATGGTGATTTCTCTCCATCCGACTTTTTAAAAATTTTTTTTAATATTTTATTTTTCAAAATATTTTTATTTATTTCTAGAAGAGAGAGCGTGAGCAGGGAAGGGTCAGAGAGAGAGGGAGATACAGACTCTGAAATAGGCTCCAGGCTCTGAGCTGGCAGTCAGTACAGAGCCCGACGCGGGGCTCGAACCCATGAACTGCGAGATCATGACCTAAGTGAAAGTCAGACGCTCAACCGACTAAGCCACCCAGGCACCCCTATTTTATTTATTTTTGAGAGAGAGAGAAAGACAGCGTGAACAAGGGAGGGTCAGAAGGATAGGGAGACAGAGAATCTGAAGACAGGCTCTGGGCTCTGAGCTGTCAGTACAGAGCCCGACACGGGGCTCAAACCCACGAACTGTGAGATCATGACCTGAGCTGAAGCCAGATGCTCAACCGTCTGCACCCAGGAGCCCCACTCTCCATCTGACTTTCCTTCATTCCCTTGTTCTTCTCTCAGCTATTAACATCTAGGTAACATGCTTTTCCACAAAACTGAAATGTCTTATTGCAGATCCTGAGAAGTTGGGGTGCCTGGCAACTATGCTGTCTCTCCCTTTCTTATTTTTTAAAATTACACATAGCTGTGCCTGACACTAATCTCATGCTCACTATGTGCCAGGAACTCTTCCAAAGCTCTTTCAACTTATTTACTCATGTGATACTCACAACAACCCTGTGAGAAACACTACTGCCTCCTGAGTTGAGGATGCACAGACACCAAGAGGTAAAGGAACTTTCCAGGCATACAGTGAGAGGCAGAATGAGGACTTGGCTCCAGATGTCTAGCTCTGGGGTCTATATCCTTATCTGGGCTTCACCCTACTTGGCTTGATAGGACACACACACCTCATCACTCATTTGTTCTCAAAAGCCTTTCCTTACTTGGCTTTCCATCCACCTTCTTCACCTGGTTCCCCTTCTGCCGATCTGGCTGTTCCAGATCATTCTCCTTTGCAAGTTACTCCTGGTCTTCCTGACTTCCAAAAGTTGGAGTACCCCAGAGATCAGTCCTTGGATCCACTTTCTACACTTAGCCCGTACATGATCTCACTCAACTTCAGAGCTTAACTATCACCTCTAGAGAGATAGCTTCCTAGCTGGTGTCTCCTGCCTGGAACTTTCCCAGAAAACTCCAGCTCATGTACCTAACTGTCCACTCAGCCTCTCCCTGAAACGGAGCATCTCAAGATCAGCATGCCTACAATGGAGCTCCTGCCCTTCCACAGATTTGCTCTTCCCCATCTGAGCTACAAGCAGTTCTGTTCTTTCAGTTGCCTGAGCCAGAACACTGGATGTCATCCTTGACTCATTTTTTTTCTCTCATGATGCGTCCAATGCACCTGTAAAATATACCCATGATCTGACCATTCCTCACCACCCCTAGCTGAAGCCATGACTCCCTCTTGCCCAGAAGGTCAAAGGTTTCTGACTGGTCTCCCTCCTTCTCCCAATGAGCCTTCTGCTGACAAGCATGATGCGAGTCAGGCACTACCTCAAATGCAACATGCAGGGGCATCAGAAAACCTCAGGTATCAAGACAAGTGATGTTTTAATGCAAAATCTTTTAAAATCAGAATCTGTGCCAAAACTATCACAATGAACAAAATCACATTTTTATAAAAATAGGACTGGCCTGTTTGCATTGCTTAGCTCAGGCCCAGTCTTGCCCAACTCTCTTCAGTGTTGGAATGACTCTGTTAAACATCTTGTTGATCCTCTGGCTTTACATCTTAGAGCAAAAGCCAAAGTCCTCACTGTGACCTACAAGGTCCTTTGTATCTGGGCCACCATCATCTCTGATAACTCCCATTTCTGCTCTCCTTCACTCAGCCCTGGCCTCCCCTTCTCTCCATCAACAAGCTCCCATCTCAGGGTCCTTATGCTCACAGGCCCTCTGCCTGAAATGGTCTCCCCCAAACACATCCCTCATGTCACCAGGAGGTTTCTCCACAAACTCACCCCATCAGGATCAAGCTAACGTTTTACCTTCTCTGCCAACACAAACACTTCATATCCCTTTTCTCTTTATTTTTTTTCCTCCTCAGAAATCAGCACCAGTACATTGTATATTTTACTCATTTATGGTCTCTCTCACCTCCTAGAAAATTCTGTGAGGTATTGAGGGGAGAAGGGTTTGTTTTGTTCTCTGCTATTTTCCTAGTGTCTCAAAATATTCTTGCATGATAGTAGGTGCTCAGTAAACATTTTAATAAGTGATTCTTACTTATTGAGAAATATATTCGTATACTTTATGCTCGTAAGTGATCTGCTTTAGTGCCAAAGTTCCTAACGCCTGTGATGTATAGGTTTTGAATCCTATCAAATCCATAAATTACTTTGGAAACTACTCTTTCAAAATTCAGTGGTCTCAGATATGAAAGGTTATAAAATGTTAAGCAGAAAATGTGTTGTACCATCTTTCTTCCAAATTGACCAGATTTAACAGAAGTTTGACTTGCTTAAAAAAATATTTATCTGGGATCCAAGTTCACCCCTCAGGTTAGGTCGATGTTGGGAGAGGGGGTTGTTTTTGAGAAATAAATATTGAAGGTTGGGTATCTCTTGTAGCAAACTCTGAATTCTATTTCTGTGCCCTGATTTCCAAAATCATGACACTATGTTGAGATGGTCTACAGGTTTTTCTCAATCATGTCAGAGTGAGTTTACGGATCAAAAGACCTTTGTGATGTAAAAGCATCTTCAATTATCTTGACTAATAATTAACCAAAACTAAAGGTAGGCTTTGCAAATAAAACTTGACATTTCACCACAAACTGTTATTTTTTGCTGGAAAATATGAAGATCAGCAAAGAACAAATCTACAACTCGGCCACAAAACCATAGACTTGGCCTTCAGACCATCCATAAGGCACCATGACGAACATGGCTGACTCACCAGGCCCCAGTCCGCCCGTGGCCTCTCTGCTTTTGTGGGTTCAATCTAGCCTTGGGGGTGGGGTTAGGGGTTGTTGAAAGTATCCTGAGGAAAAGACAGTTAACATAACTGCAGTCACCATTCGGGTAGAATTATTAGGTGAATACTGGTCTCCTTTTACCCCTACCTGGCAGCATCCCTAGAAAGATTATTTATACACTAAAAGTGTCAGGAAAGCTACCTGTCCCAAGTCACCACTATCATAAAAACAGTTTCTAATTTTTTGTGGGGGATGGGATGGGGGATGGGGAATACTGCCTTTCGCAAAGGATAGTGACAGAAACTGATGCATTAACTTAATGGACTTAACTGACTGTTCCTAAGACACAGGGCCTTAAAGCTGGGCAGGGGGTGAAGCTGGGGTGCAGACAGCACTGACTGAATACTGCCTGAGAGAATGAAGAAGTAAAACTGGGGATGACCTGCATTAGAAGCAAGCAAGAATTCCTAGAAAAGTCAAGAGCAGAAATGCCCATGCCTATGTGCAAAGCATGAAATTGCTCTGTCCCTATAGTAACTGATGAATAGTCTCTCCGGAATCTCATTTTTCCTTTGGTTTTCTACATCTCGAAAGTATTACTTTCCAGTCGCTGCTAGATGATGCTTGTCTCTTAGTTATTACCTTAAGAGAATTCTGTGGATCTGTAATTTATCGACCTGATCGCTGCAGCTTGACCTCTCACCCAATTTTGTACTGGTTTCCTATATTGTCAACAGCCCCTTCATCCTGAACCTTTAAGTGACCACCCAAAGTAGTGGAGGAAACCTCAGTGCAGAGCACAGAAAAGTTTTCAAAAGGCCTATAGCAAAACGAGTTCAATCTGCATGTGATTCAAATCACTATAAAACACTTCTGTCCCAGTTGGCAAAGCCCAGTAAGCAGAGTGAAGGCCCAGTGAGGAACCTTCACGCCTCACACCAAGCCAGCAGGTCAGCGCACGGCCCTCAGCACACAGGAGCCTCCAAAGCCTCCCACCACCACAGCCAGGACCGTTCAAGACGGCCACACCCTGACTCTATGAACCTCTAACAATGAGCAACTATCACATTTGGGATGGGGTTCAAATTATGGTCCCAAATAAAAAGTATAGACAATAAGTCTGAAAGTACATCTTCATACCTACATAAGCATGCACACACATAAGCCTTCATAATTTCTTACAAAGGACTTCATGTCCTCTCCTGTGTCGTCTAAGCCATAAGGTGATCTGAAAGGACCATTCTGCGGATTTAAATTTTTTAAGGCTTATTCATTTTTGAGAGAAACAGAGCATGAGGGGGGAAGGGGCAGAGAGAGAGAGGGAGACACAGAATCTGAAGCAGGCTCCAGGCTCTGAGCTGTCAGCACAGAGCCCGACATAAGGCTCAAACTCATAAGCCGTGAGGCCATAAACTGAGCTGAAGTCAGACGCTCAACCCACTGAGCCACCCAGGCACCTCCAATCTGCATATTTTTAATTGACGTGACCTACTTTGTTTTTAGGCATTCGGTGACATTCTAAAATAATTGGATTGAGATTTACTGATCTGCATTCTCCTTGGAGAAGGGGTATTACTCATTTGTGACTTCTACATTCCAACTAAAATTGAACATTTTTTTAAAACTCATTTTTAAGGAGGACATCTAGCCAGCCATGTTCACATGTTTGTGGCTTATGTATAGAGAATGTTTCCTGAAGATGTCCTTCATGAGAAGGACAGGTTTGCACTTGGGAACAGTAATTTACTTAATCTATCTTAAATTTGGTTTCAGTGAGCAACCCTAATTAACCTGATTTTTTGCCGATAATCACTCTCAATGGAATCAAATCACAAATCCGGGGATGGATTGAGCGGCACCCAGAAGGAAGCAGCCCTTCGCGCATTGGTCCAGCGCACAGGATATAGCTTGGTCCAGGTAGGAGCTTCTCATGATATCTGCTGAGGCCCACCGCTGAATCCACCGAACGGTGGGAATATTCGTGGTCCTAAGGTGCAAAATGTGAATGGTCAGTCGTGTAACTGTTAATGGATGTTCCATCCTGGAGGGGAAAGAAGTCACATCATTTCGGGGTTGTAGGTGACTCGGGAAGGTGATGGTCTTTCTACTCTGGGCTATCAGCTTACCCTTCACTGGTCATTTGAAAGCAGAATCCGGGTTCACAGTCAGAGAGGTTATCACAGCTTTGAAAGACCACTCTGGTCTATGAAGAGGCAATTGGAGTTTACCATCCAATGCTTTCTGTGAAGTAGAACCAAGCTAGTGACTGAAGACTCAGCAGAGGGCAAAGCATCCCAGAACTAGCCTCCGTTTCCAGAGGGACTCCCTACTGGGGGGTGCAGGAAGATGTTCAGATGTGGAGCCCCAACCCCAACTGTTTGGTCATCATCCCTACTCCATGATGTTTTCTAGTAACAGCAACCCAACTGAGTTCAGGATATGTAATAGTTTCTCCCCATCTCCAGCAAATGGAAAAATGAACAAGTCCTCAAGCTGGCTCTTTACTGACACTGGTCGTTAACAATTATCTATATAGTATGGTATCTGTGAAAGGCTCCTTCAGAGAGGTTATGATACATAGAAAAGAAAACTAGTATAAGGGATATCAATGATCTTTTTTGAAGAAATAGTGTTGCTGTTTTTACCATCAGGCAAAGCACTTTCATTCCCTGCTGTCCCTTTTACATACATGCTTTTCTAACTTAACCAAATCCATGTGCTTTCACAAATACAAGTTTCACTTGGGTAACAATAAACCATGCTGTGCCCTTTTATTACATGTTCCTTTGTCAGATCATTGCCAAGTGTACTGCACGTAGTTATGTTAGAAATGTTACCAAAAATATTTAAATTTTTTTTCTTTTTATTGTCTTTGTATGTGAAACACTCATGCAAAGAGAGTGGTAGCACAGAGCACTTAAACCCTTTTGAAAAGTAATTTCTTAATATTTATTTATTATTAAAATATTTTTAATATTTGTTCATTTTTGAGAGAAAGAGAGAGAGACAGGGAGAGAAGGAGGGGGAGGGGCAGAGAAAGAGTGAGACACAGAATTCGAAGCAGGTTCCAGGCTCTGAGCTGCCAGCACAGAGTCTGATCCAGGGCTCGAACCCATGGACCATGAGATCATGACCTGAGCCAAAGTCTGACACTTAACCAACTGAGCCGCCCAAGCAACCCAATTTCCTAATATTTATGTATAAGAATGTTGCTCTTCTGGAAGTGAATCTATAAAGGTACAAATATAATGAAAGGAATACATATAAACCTGTCTAGAATGGCATTATTTATAACACTTCAACATTGCAAACATAAATGCATAAAAGAAAATTATTAAGTAAACTATGAATATATAATCATTACATTCAACAAGCAGAACTCTATAAGACTTAATCACAAAACAATGTACATTGTCTGTTCCATGTTATTCTAAGCCCTGGTTATTCCTTTTCCCCCAAATGAAATTCAGGGCAAGTCTCATGACTTTTCTGGTAACTTTCAGATTAAAAAAAAAAAAATCCTGCACTCAGCAATAACAGGTCTAGTGCAGTATAAGAAAAACTTCGAAGGTATAGCTACTTCCTTCCCCACACATGTCAGAGTACAGAGTGATTTCCACTTGCCTCCTCTCTGCATTCAGAAGCCTCACTTCCCGCCAGTCTGCTAACTGCACTCTCTGACTCAGCTGATGCCCTAGGAAGGGATCAAAGCAAGGGGGAGGGGCAGGCGTTTGCAAGGCTGGGAGTCCGCACTGCGGGCTCCAGTCCCCTCTAGAGGCGGGACCCCTTCCTGGGCCTCTGGCTCCTGCAGGGCTCATTTTGACATGTCATGTGACCATCTTGGGGAAGACAAGAGATGACCCCTGATTCCTACCTGTGGCCAAACTCAAGTCCCCTGGGAGCACTGATACATTCTCTGACCAGAACAATCTGGAAGCACAGTGGCCACAAAGCAACCATCCCTCCTCCTCCCCAACCTCTAAAGCAGTGGTACTCACCGCTGTCGACAGTAGGTATTTCGGGAGTGAGTTGGATCAGCCCCGAGTGTGCTCCCCAGCACGGGGAACGCATATGGAGCTCTTGGAGCTGTTTCCTTAGGTTTCCTCGCTCCGGCCTGAAGGAAACCCAGATCCACCTCCCAAATGCTCCCACGTGGGGAAGTGAGGATCCACAACCCACCAGCAGAGTCTCCACAAATCTCTGAATGAACTCCAAAAACCCCTCTCCAGCCCCTCCGTCGCTTTCTGAAACTCAAGGATCAGGAGTCGAGAGGAGGTGTTGGGTCAAAAATGTAACACAGTTCACTAGTTTCCTACCACCTCCTCGTCCCGCGCGGTGGTCCAGCCACTCGCTTTCATATCTAAGCCAGAGGCCCCGAAGAGCCCAACACATCTCGAAATCCTATTGCAAAAGACATAGTATTCAGTTATTAAATGATCATTTTAAAAAAATCTGCAGGGCAGAAAATTGTAGCTTATTATTACAACTATGTAGAAAGTTTGCAAATAGCATACTTTTTAAAGACTTGAGTAGCAATGGAGATTGTTTTATAAAGTGAATGCTAGGATTTAAGAACATTTGCATTACAGAGGGAAAAAAAACCCAATAGGGCTATTTTTTCTTATAATTAAAAATATCTTCCAGTAAAAGAACCCTAAAAATATATGGCCCATCTATGTATTACTTTCATCTTACATATTCAGTTACATTCACAAAATGTTAATGAGATCAAAGTTAATAACTAAATAATAGCAAATATTTCCTGGGCACTTCTAACTGCTTTGCATAAATTAATTCATTTAAAATGTTTCACCATTTAATTACTTTTGAGAGACAGAGTGTGAGTGGGGGAGGAGACACAGAATCTGAAACAGGCCCCAGACCTCAAGCTGTTAGCACAGAGCCCAATGTGGAGCTTGAACTCACAGACTGCAAGAACATGACCTGAGCCGATGTCAGACACTGAACCAACTGAGCCCCCCAGGCACTCCTAAGTTAATTCATGTAATGCTTACAATGCCACTATGATCATCTCCAGTTTCTAGATAAGGAAAACAAGGCACAAGCAAAATTAGGTACCTTGCCCACATTTTATAAGCTATAATTCTACTGCTATTGGCCAGAATTTCTGGCTAAATATTCAGAACTAAGAGCTGTTATAATATCATCTTTATGATAGCAATTTTAGAGATTAGCATACCAGGGGATGCAAAAAATATTTTGTGGAGCCTAAACTTGGCAACATGATTCACGTTAGGTAATGCTATGTATTTGTTAGCAGAATGACTATTGGGTCAGAAATTCTTCCATAATGCAAAACCTAGAATTCCAAAGTCTAGCTATCCCAATCAAAAGCCTCTCATCAAGGTCTAAATACATAAAGGACAACCATTTTGAATGAACTGGAAAATCTCTCCTGATTTTGGCTGCAAAGTATAGGACGTCACTCAAGACTTCAAGTTGGACACCTGTTTTAACCTGCTATTTACCACATGCAAGGTGCATGATCTTCAACGCGTCCCTTAATTACTCTTGGCCTTGATTTCCATAATATCGGCTAGGCCTTACCCCCACTCTGCTAGTCATGATGCTGCAGTCCCGGCATCTGCTCCATCTAGTCACTGATCAGCAGTCTGGATTAACTGGCTGGAAGAAGACAGCATGTTGGAGGCATGACCTCAGCGCTTTGGGACTTAGGGGGGACCCTTCAGCCTTCTCCACACTTCCACCTTCAAAAAGAGAGGGCAACATCAGGATTCCTTTTGGAAGTCCCTGCACGGGGGCGCCTGGGTGGCTCAGATGGTTAAGAATCTGACTTTGGCTCAGGTCATGATCTTGCGATTTGTGGGTTTGAGCCCCACATCAGGCTCTGTGATGTCAGTGTGGAGCCTGCTTTGGATCCTCTGTCCGCTTCTCTCTCCGCCCCTCTCCTGCTTACATGCTGTCTCTCTCTCTCTCAAAAATAAATAAACTTTTTTTAAAATGAAAACAAAAATCGCTGCACAAAAACTTAAGATAAAGAAGCATCTTACTACAGTTCAGAGAGCATACCCACAAAAAGGCCATTTGAAATTTTATGGTATCTGCCCAATTCAGGTTTGAAGGATTTATACTTGTTGGATCTTTGCAGCCTGTGGGATTAAACGTTGAATACTTGCAAAACAAGAACTCAAAAACCAGAGGGTAATTAATCGGTTCTGTCTTATCACTAGCAGGACAAATACAGATGTTGAAAATAGAATTTTGCCAGTTACTTAATGTGAGCCAGTTTTCTGTGTGCCAACTGATGAAGCACCTTGTGTCTCTGAGGATTTGAAAACATCACTTATTTAAAACAAAGAAAGACATCACAAAGGACATCTTTGGATACTGATAGCTGAAACTTTTATCAAAGGGTCTGAGAGAATAAAAGAAAGTCAATGCTGCCATGCCCTGCATTTAGTAAGTATGGCCAAACGTTGATTAATGGTGACGAGTTAAACTGTCAACCTCATACTTGCCTTAGGGCCGCATAGAAGTATTTTGGAAGAAGTGTGCTGTCATGTTTCCTAGCCAACACTCTGTGTCTCCTCACGATAGAATTACATGTGGTGGCTTCTTTCCCTTCTACTTTTTCATTCTTAACTGAACTTGCCAAATTTCCTAAAATAGATTTCTTGAGAGTCAAAGAAAAAAATCAGATTGTGAGGACACTATCTTCAAGAATGCATTAATAATGTGGGTCATGATCTCTGACATGTGATGGTCCTCCCACCTGGAATTTTCCCCATAACACCAGAAAAATAGGTTTTCATATATGAGCCTTTGCAGAAAACTTCCCGCCCAATGTGCAATAAGTTTACATCAATTTTAATTCTATTAAAACTAAAATATACTTAATAAAGATTGTTGTGGAGTAGTCCGAATATTTTTTAATT